GAGAGGGAGGCTGGGGACAGGATACCATTCTGTGGCAGATGATAAGAGCCTCAGTTTAAAGCTGTTGGGAGTGGAAGGCTGGCAGCACTAAATAATTGACAAGAATTTGGTACCTGATTGGCTCAAAGAGGGGAGAGGCTGATAGTAGCTCCAAATTTGGGGGGAGGGGCTGAAGCTTATGCTAGGTTAGGGGCCCTCATTGAGAAAAAGAATAAAAAAGAACAACAAAAGATACAGTAGAACTCTGAAGAGGCCCGTGGACAGCTCATGGGGTGGGGGTGGGGTGCGCGGTGAGCACCTTTCCATTTGCTGGCCAGCACCTTTTTCCTCCAGCTTTTCTCTGGTATCATGTGCCTTGCCTATCTGGGTTCCTGTGGTGCTGGTAGAGCTGCCTGCTCACCTCCCACAACACTGTCAGACACATTCCCAGAACTGCCACCAGAGCTATCCTCTCTATGGCCACATCTCCATATGTTGTATGGAGACAGACTGTAGCTGTCGTGGTTTGGATCTGAAATGTCCCCCAAAGGCCATTGTTAAAGGCTGTCCCTAGCCTACAATGCTAGTGGGAGGTGGGAAACTTTTAAGAGGTGGGGCATACTTGGAGGAAGTTAGGGCCCTCGGGGCATGCTCTTCAGGTGATATGGGGACCCTGACCCCTTGTTTTCTCTGTTCTTTTTGGCCACCATGATGTGAATAGCTTTGTTCTACCACACGATTCCCACCATGATATGCTGCCCTGCCACAGGCCCAACATGACAGGACAATGGACTGAAACTTCTGAAACTGTGATCCAAAATAAGTCAATCTTTTTTCTTTCCTTCCCTCCCTTCTTTCGTTCCTTCCTTTTCCTTTTTCTCCTTTTTTCTCCCTCCCTTTCTTTCCTTCCTTTTCTTTCTCTTTCTTTCCTTCTTTTCTTTTCTTTTTTATTCCTTCTTTCCTTATTTTCTCCAGTATTGGGATTGAACTGAGGAAGTACTGAGCAGCACTCTCAGTTCTTTATTTTGAGATGGGGATCTGGCTCAAACTTGTGATCCTTCTGTTTCAGCCTCCCCAGTAGCTGGAATTCTTTCCACCTTTTCAGCTGACTTTCTTAGGTCATGGTTGATTTTGTCAGTGTTAGAAAACTAACTAACATAGTAGGTGACTCAAACCAAGCCAAAGAGACCCAATTCTGGGGCTTTTGCTGGAACTGTTGGGAAATTGTTTGCTTTTCTGCATGCTTGCTCTTTTGTTGTGTTGCTGAGTGGTTGGGATATAAGCCTGCACCTTGGGGGGGGGTAGGGCTGAGGAAGTGAGAAGATAAGGAATGTGTGGAGACACATCAACTCATGATGCCTTTCACTGCATCCCCGAATCTCATGCCAGAAGCTACATCTTCTAACTTCTGTTGCATGAACCAATTAAGTCTACTTTTTGTCTAAGTCAGTTTGCCTTTGTTTACTGTCTGCTATAACCAAAATATTCAGCTTCCATATTCATTCAACATAAAGAACTCTTGTGGGCCATGCTTGGTAACTGGACAAGCCTTCCAGATGCCACCTCTGTGGGAAGGTGGCATGTAATTGGTATACAGAAGTCCCCCCTTATCCATGGTTTCACATTCCACAATTTCTATTATCACTGGCAAACCATGATCCGAAAATTTTAAATGGAAACTTCTAGAAATAAGCAATTAATAGGTCTTAAATTGCACACGGAGAATCATGGTGAAATCCCACAACCACCCTGCTCTGCCACCTGGCATGGGAATCATCCCTGTATTCACACTGGTGCTACAACCATTTTGGAGAAAGTTTGTCAGTTTCTTAAAAAGTTAGACATACACCTTTCACATGATCCAGCCTTTCCACTTGTAGGTATTTATCTGAGAGAAATGAAATCTTATGTCATAACAATATCTTGTTCATGAGTGTTCACAGCAGCTTTACCAATAGTCCCTGACATGCAACGATTTATGATTCTTCAACTTCATGATGTCATGAAAGTGATACATGTTTTGTAGAATTCAATCTTGAATTTCAATCTTTTCCTAGCCAAGCAGTATTCACTGTGATACTCTCTGGAGATTCTGAGCAGCAGCAGTGAGCCACAGCTCCCAGTCAGCCATGCCATCACCAGGCCAAACAACTAATAAATGCTCTACAATTTACCATGTTACTAAGCTATGCTGTTCATTAGGATGGGTGTATTAAACACTTTTTCAACTCACCGTGAGTTTAGTGGACCAGAGCCCCATTGTAAGTCATGGTGCATTTGTACTTGTAATAGCCCAAAACCATAAACAATCAAAATGTTCAATAGCCCTCAAATGGGTAAATATACTATTGTATATTCCTATGGAATACAATGAACTAATATAAAGGAATGAACTAATGATATGTGCTTCAACATGAGTGAATTTCAAGGTGATTTTGCTGAAAGAGACTAGATAAAACAATACACAATGTATGATTCCATTTATATAAAATTCTAGGATATATAAACTAGTGTCTAGTGACATAAAGCATGTCGGTGGTTACCTGGTAAGATGGAATAGCAAGGATAAAGCTGGAGGGAGGGGTTATGTGAAGAAACTTTTGAGGTTGAGAGATATGTTGTCTAGTTGTGGTGATGGGTTTTATTATATATACATATATTTTTAATGGTATTGGGAATTGAATCCAGGGCCTCATGCAGGCTAGGCAAATGCTCTACCACCAAGCTACATTCCTGGCCCTTATTTATTTATTTATTTATTTATTTATTTTAAAGACAAGGTCTTGCTAAATTGCCCAGGTTGGGCTCAACTTATGATCTTCCTGACTCAGCCCATTGAGTAACTGGTATTTCAGACATGTGCCAATTCTCCCAGCTATGTAGCAATGAGTTTTATGGCTGTGTGTGTTTTAGCAAACTGCACACTTTAAATATGTGGAGTTTGTGTGCTATACCAATTATATTTCAATAAAGCTGTTAATAATTATCTCCAATTTTAAAAGTTTTTCTCATTTTATTCTCAAACATAGCATTACTTATTCCTACACAATGAGTTAAATTAGGAAGGAAGGAAGGAAGCCTTAGGAACCCTGATGTATTTCAGTAGGACCAACAATACTTAAAAACTTTCAGTAGTAATGTCAGAAAGAACTTCCAGTATCTTGGTAGTATAACAGGTGACCAAAACAAAACCTAGAAAATGTTATTGTTCATTTAAAAGCCATGTAAGTGTCCATTTCCATTGTTATGTGACCATTGCCACTATTCATCTTCAGAACTTTATCATCATTCCAAACTGTAACTCCGTTCTTTAAACAATAACTCCCATTAAACAAAATTCATGCTTTTCAAGACAAAATCGATTACAACTCTTGAACATTTTACAAGGAATGGCTTTTTAAGGAGATTAATGATGGAAATCGTGTTTTCCACTTCCACCAGAGTAGTCTGCTGCAGGAAAGCGTTATAGACTGGGGACTATGATCTGTACTTCAAATCCGCCCACCACTGCTGACCCTCACTGGCCCTGCGGGAAAGTGGGTGAGGTCTCGTGGATGACACACGGCCACTGTCACACTACTGGAAAACCAGCCTAAACTGCTTGCGGCACTAATACTGGGTCAATTGTGACATCTCTGTGTGGGAAGAATGCCCTAATTATCCTTACTACCTCCAGAGCCAGTTAGAAATCGTTTATAAATTATTTCACTTTCCTCCGTTTGCCTCCTCCCCCTTCCCTCAAACTCTACCTCGCAAAGTCAATGGGAAATTCTTGCAAAATTAAGAGCAGCTGGGTACGTTTCCTTTTCAAGCTGCCATTATTTCTATTTCAGGGTGGTTCAATTATGGTGAGATATTTGGGATCCTGTTTTCAACTAGGTTGCCAAACCTGATTCTGCGACCTTAGTTTGCATTTGGCAAAAGGTGCTTTTACACTAGGATTCAGAGGATTGAAACCTGTCCTGGGTGTGCACCAGATAGCAAGCGCAAGGGGAACCTTTGCAGGTGGTGGACCTTGTCCGTGGTACTTGGGGTCTCTGGGTTCAGAATTCTCACCTCTAAAACTGATATTAAGTCTATCTAGAAGTCGTTTTGGGCAAGTAAACAGGATAACTTTCGCAAGACGTGGTATACAGTACAGCCTCATAATCAGAGGCGGGTGACAACTGTTGCCTTACACCATCTAGTGACTTCCAGATCAGGAGAAAGGAAAGAGAGGGTGGGAAAACAGGCCCTGGAAGAATAGAGGCGCCCCTGGTAGTCCTGCTTCAAAGTGGTGCCTTGATTCAACAAACGAAAATAGGTAGACAGCAACAACACCTGGATTTTTGGCTAGCTGTATTTTGGGTAGGATGTTTGTAAAGGATAGCTGCTGCGAATTTCTGAACACGACCTGAAATGCCCTAAGGCTCTGCCGGGACACATTCGCCAGTGTCTCCAGCATTGCAATTAGGAGTTTAGTTGGAGTGAGTTCGAGTTTGGCCAAGAACCTTGACTGTTCCCACAAAGGCAGCAGGATAGAGGTCACACCGAGAGGTGTGGAGGAGCGAGCAGGTATCGGCGGATGGCCTCGGTTTCCTGGCGCAAGAGCCTAGGAGGCTCCCGGAGGTGTTTCTAGCAGCGGGCTGAGGGGCCCCTTCGTCTGGGAGAGCTGGGCGTCGAGCCGGGGAGGAGGCGGGCGCAGGCGGCAGGTCAGCCGCGGGCCAGCTCGCGGGGTCCTTCGGTCTTCGGCGGGCCCCAAGCTCGGTGACCGAGGCCTGGAAGGCAACGCGAAGCCCCCGCAGCCGGGAAGCCCCCAAGCGCCGGGCGGGGCCGGCGGGGCGGGGGCGGGGC